TGCTTTGCTAAGCTTGTTCTAAGTAGGTGCTTTAGACCACTGAGCCATCTCACCAGCCCCCTGGGATTCTTTTTTAGGGGCATAAAACATACAAGTACAATGCCTCAGTGGAAAAAACAGAACAAAAACTGCGATGCCATTGTTGCACCTAGAGAAACAGTGACTCTTTCAAATGTTACCTGTCTATGTTTTCAGGCTCACATTTGCGAGTCTCATAAAGCCATAATACTTTTCACCCAACTTTTTGAATAAGGATCCAAGTGAAGTCTGTACAGCGTTCACCCAGAATGTCTCGTAAGAGGCTCTTTATTTTCACTTTATTTCTATTTGTTTGCCTTTTTGAGGCAGGGTTTCACTCTGCAGTTCAGGCTGGCCTTGAACTCTTTGTAGCACAGGTGGGCCTCCGACTTGTGACAGTCCCCTGGCCTCAGCCCCCTGAGTGCTGGGATTACTGGCATGTGCCACCACACCTGGCCAAAAGTCCTTTTTTTAATGTACAGCTTTTTAATCCAGTTCCCTTTTTCTTCGTTAATTTGTTGGACAAACTGGGTCTTGGGGTAACAGATTGGATTTCACTGATTATGTCTTTATTGTAGCCTCTGAATTTCTTGTCATTTGGCTATTGAAACCAGTAAGCTGGCAGTTTATTTGCACCTTTTCCCATTTAACTTACAATTTAAAAAAAATTTAGATTTCTGGAAAATTGCTAAGCAGGACAGAATTTGTATTTATCCTTCACTCAGTTCCCTACTGTTACAGCTTAAATAACTGCAATGTAATTACCACACCCAGGAAGGTGATACAGCGACACCAGTATACTGATGTAATATGATGTAAAACTAGTAATTTACAAACTTCATTGAAATGTTGCAAGTTTCCTAATTTGTCTTTCTAGACCAGAATCTAACCGAGGGATATTAGACAGTTGGTCACATCTTCTCCAGTCAGTAGTAATTCCATTTGTTTTGTTTTCCTTTAAACCTTTGTATTTCTGAAGACCACTGGTCAGTTACCGTGTAGAAAACCCCTCAGCTTAGGTTTGTGTGACGTGTTGCCACGGTTAGCTGGATGTGCATTTGAGGCAGGAATAGCGCAGAAGTGGGCGGAGGATGCAGCTCAGCGGCACAGCACCTGCCTGGCAAGCTCAAGGTCCTGAGTTCGGTTCCCAGTACC